TGTAAAATATAATAAAAATCAAAGCATATTCGAAATACACAGAAAACCTTGAAAATAGTGCCTTCTTTCGCTGTTTCCCTTAAATATACATCCGTAACACCATCTATTTTAATTTCACTAATATTAAGTGAACCAAATTCCCTAAAACATCCAATACTGTTATAAATATAGAACCACTTGCAAACCAAAGGAATAACTTTAAAAATTTTAGTTTAAAGAGAACAAATTTTCCGATAAATGATGTAAACAAATAATAAGACTTAAAACACCTACATGAGCTGATCTGTGCTAAGCTCTCTCATTTCTCCGTAATTAACATTCACTGAAAAATCTTCCGTGAACGAAGTGAACGACAAAACTTTTTTAGATGCAGGTACGAACGATTTCATTGGATATATTGGTCGATGCATTAACCGTCCGGTACCCGTTTCGTCTTTACTATGCGCACTAATAAAATCAACCTTAAATAATGATAAAAACAGAGTCCGGTAAAAGGTGTGGAAGATTCAAAATAATAATAATCTTATGAGTTATATGAATTAAAATGCAAGAAAGTTAGCTTTATTTGGGGTGTTAATGAAAAATCATACAAAAGTTACACACCTGTATTGGAGATATTTGCAAATCACGTACACCGAATCTCTTGACTTTGAAACCTTTGCTTAGATGCGCTGCTTGGTAAACTGCACCCATTGCAATTGCTTCATCAGTATTTAGGAATTTACCCAGCTCTTTCCTCCAAATAAATTAATGAAAAACCTCGAAGCCCAAATTTTATAAAAGGACACTAACAAATAACAGATTTTCCAATGAGAAAACCCTTACTTTTTGAAGAATTTCTGAACAAATTCTTGGATTAAGGGAACGCGACTCCCACCACCCATCAGCACTACCTGATTGACCTGGAAACACAGAACACTACGTCCATGCAAAGGTTACGGGAAGATTTTAATACAAAAAAGAACCAATTTAAACCTTTTCTGGTGACAAGTCAGCCATTTTCAAAGCATCCACAATAGGCTGCACTAATTTTACTTCGAGATCTCTTATTGCATCTTCTAGCATTGCTCTGGTCACTGACATCGTGAAATCTTGTTCTTCATGGACATTTTCAATCTGTGCAGTAAAATTAACGTTTGCCGAAAGCACCTGAAGTGAAACCGATTTTATCACGGCTGTTCAGCATACAGTTGTCATTTCTAATCATGTACCATATATAGCCATACATACTGTCGTTTCTGACTACCGTCAAAACCGCAACTTGCTACTACTTGAAATTTTTGTAAAACATACAATTTTGACACGTTCTGCCTCTTGCAACATTTTTGCCATGGAACGTGGATTTTCCGTTATATCGGTTTTGGTCTTTTTCGTTTTGCGAAAGTCACTCACAAAGATATCACGCAGCCTTTGCGTAATTTCAAAGCCACCAACTATGCGGCTATAGCTGCAACACTGCACACTTCAAAGCCAAATAATTGACACTAGCAATATTCATAAAGCTATGTAATGCCTTGGACTATATAAGTGAACAAAACATTTCTTTAAAATTACCCAACTCCCAGTGTCGTCATAACTGGATCCTTTTCACCTCGTTTCTTTTCCTCCACTAATACATATTCCAACACTGAAGCTGTAACTTTTGTTGCTCCAACGTCATAAATTAACAAAGTTTGTGCATTCTCAGTGATTTCTCTTCTTCGAAATGCACCATAGTTTAAACCAGCAGCTGTATGATCATTCAACAACTAAAAGGTACAGAGTTGAGAAATAACATTAATGAATCACTTAAAATAAGATTTGTAAATAATACCACGATGTAAAGAAAAAAAAAAAAAAAAACTGAAGAAGTTTATTGACTTTCAACGCACCCTTTCGCCAAAGCAAAAAATTAAAAAAACATGGATCAGAAGTTAATGGATTTTCTAAAAAAGAAATTAAAGAAACAGGTTGTCCAGAATCAAACCGCACTTGTAATAAATTCAGTTCAGCGATTTTAGCCGCTGCAACTAGAGCACGTCGTTCTGCCTGATTGAAAAACACTGGAACTGTAATAACTACATCCCTAACAGGCTGTTTAGCGAATTTCTCGACCACTTCTCGACATCGCTTCAAAATCATTGCAACTATAGACTCAATACTGTAGTTCTCGCCATCCCTACACTTAGCAGAAATCAGTTCAGATCATATATTTTTAGCTGAATTAGCAAAAAAAGAGAAATGAGTTGCACTGATATCATATAAAAAGCACGCATTTTTCACCCTCAATTTAAGAACTTTCACATACAGAGCAGAGTCTCTGAAAACTTCAATGAATATATAAAATTTACACATCGAACTGCAAAACGTCTCTCGCATCATCCACAATAAATTTTAGATGCGGGAATCGTTGCTTGTAAAGTGAAATAATTGGATTGTTGATTTTCTTGCCCAACAGATCCACCAAATGAGTAAAAGAATTTTTCCAATATTTAACTGACTAAAAAGTTTAAGAAAAGATAGAATTCGATACGAGTGCATCCCCACAGAAACTACAATACATAACGAAAAACTGGACACTCATCTAAAATCAATTCTTGAAATGTGAATACTTCATACAAAAGAGAAAGAGAGAAAAATAAAACTTCTTAGCTCCGACTGGCATTAGCAATTCCTCCATCTGCCAGTGAATCTAAAAAAATTTTAAGAATCATACACCACTTACGTAGGCCAATGCCGCATCACCAAACAAACGTTCGTTATCTTTAACAATTATTAGGTTTGGTGTTTTCCTATGTGCTTCTTCATTCAACACCATTTCCATGGGCACACCTGGTTTTACCAAAGCCATTTTTATCCATTGTGAACCAAAATCTATGGACATAGCTGCAAGCGATGCATCTGCAAAAGCAAAAAATTCGTAGTGGAGATTTTGAAGCAAAGCTTATAGTTCAAACAAGAAAAACATGTATTTGCATTAGAAGGTCCCAAAAATTGTTTGCTGTGGCACACATCGCTAAATTTAAGTTAAACTCATTAGTCCTCAAGTTTTCGGTTTCCTTCGGTGATAAATTTGGTCTCGATTTCGATAGTTTATATTAATTTGGTATGGCTGAATAACTTTTATGCTACTGGCAAAGCAAAATCCATGCTGACAACGATAGAATGCCCAACTGTTATTACTAAACAGACGGGTCTTCCTCCTTTTTGATTCCCGAAGGTCAATGAAAATTTCATATAAAACCACGTTTTATAAAGAAATTTATAAAAATCCTTTATATAAAGACCAGCCGGCTGCTGCAAATAAAACAAACATTTTACACCTCCATTTGTTACCAACTATAATTTACTTTCTTGATTATGTGGTAATTAAATCTAACCCGAAGTGAAAAATGTGCTGACAGTTGTCGCTAAACAGAGTATATATTTGTAGTTCATTGTTATCGTTAACCGGTATGACAAATATGAAACTACCTAAAAATGAAGATGAATAAATTATACCGCATTTCTGAGTAGTAGACAGGATGCCATATTTTTTTTTATTACTGTGCAGGAAAGCCATGTCAAATAAAGCAATCGTTTAAAAGAACATAGTTACAATATACATTATTGGGTAACTTTTAGAATCAAGTTTAAGATTTAAATTGAGCGGCCATAATGCTAAAGCATCCACACACATATCCAATTGCACTCGTTTTCGATGAATTATCACTCTCCTATCCCAGGTAAACATTCTGAAATTCTTTGCAGAACCGTGCTGGTCTCTGTAGATTCTCGGTGGAAAAACAAGGCAATAACAAAGATCCCTTAAACTCCAAACTTGTCAACCTCACGGCCCGTTAACAACAATACCTCCCGCTGCCATCCCCTCCAATCATGTCCACTCGCATCTAACATTTCCTGATCACTTCCAACGGACAAGTGTCTTCTCCACCAGTTCAGTCCAGCTTCTCATCTCGCCGTTTGATGTCTTCCATTTCACACACACTCTCTTCAGTCAACGACATACATTGTAGCAAAATGACAAAGCAGATTTTAGGTAGTATGTACCGTTAGTGGTCTGACTAGTCGTCTTGTGTGAAATGACGGGAAGTCTTGGGAGGTCGGGAGATCTTCAGGGACAAGTGGAGCGGTGAAGTAGTTTAGACAGATAACTGACTCGAGTTAGGAGGTTCCTGCTCTTTCTCTTTTCAGTTCTGTGAAGTTCCGCGTGGCCCACACTAAACGCTCTTACTAAAAATAGCTGAGACAAATTCTGAGTTATGTATTTGCAGTGTCATATACATCTGTCTTTAGATTTGTTCACGACATGACAGTTACAAGGCATGTTGGATACTCGACCTGTTTTTTTCTTTTTTTTGTAAAGACACTGCGTCTGTTCACTCAAATTATGTAGTATGTTTCAGTTGTTGTCATACTGCGTTTTCTATACTAAACTCCCTTGTTCTGTATGCCACAAATACAATGTTTAATCATACGGCGTTGTTTTCGTAACAAGTAGCATTAGTTTTATCTGTTAATAATAGAATATTACTAAAACTTTTATACTCTAGTACATCACATAGTTTGGGATATGGCAATAGCAGCTATAGCTAAAAAGATTCGGTCAGTAAGTGGTATTTGATGGTCAGCCATATAGCCAACCAAATCTTTTAGTCAGACCCAAGTTTTTCAACCAAATACGTCTGAAGTCAGTCAGTCATCTTTATCTCTTACATAGTTCAGTGAATCTATGCCTGCTTGTAAAATCCAATTTTTAAATTAATTATAGGCGTTCTGATATGCTGCTCATGCAGGAAAAAAGTGTAGTATTCTGGTAGATAGTTTGGTACCTTAAATTGGTGTTGTGTATTACCTCATCGCTTAATTACAGTAGTGTATGTCCTTTCATGCTCATTTATAACAGTTTGTGTGGAACTTGTTCTTTTGTTTCATTCTCGCTTATCGTTGTCAATTGTAAACCCTGCATATACTTTTGAACAAGCATAAAAATCCAGGGTTAAGCGTTGGATTTATTCAATATGGCTGAACGTGGAGGTTTTCGAGGTGGATTTGGTAGTGGCGAACGGAGTGGTAAGTGCTTTTTTATTTACTTTTTTTTAAAGCTATCCTGGGTAATAATGTTGCGGATGAGTTCTTCAACATTTAAACTTTGCAAATATTTTATTTAATGATATTACACTGCCTATTCAGATTGGTAAAATTACTTTGATGAAGTCTTATCTTAGCAGCGTAGGATAAGAGTTTGGTTACTATAGGCTAGTACAGCTGGCGATGTTCCTAACCCAAAATATTTACATAATTCGTAAAGAAAATGAAATAGTTTAGGTAGAGGTGGTCGTGGTGGCGGTGAACGAAGTCGTGGTCGTGGTCGAGGTCGGGGTGGACGTGGTGGAAGGTTAGTATCAATTTGTTTCAAGTAATGTACTCATGTTTTCTTGGTGTTCTGTATAAACCATGAGCTTATTAACTTAGTGCCACAGTAGAATCAATGATTAAGTAGTCATTTCACTTACAGTAAAGAAAGCGTATGCAGTTTCTCCAGAACATTGGAGAAACTGCTTTGTGACAAAGATGAAGCTTGTGCAGAAAAAACCATACGATGTATTGATATGTTGTCCTCATTATAGCTTCGACAGTTCTGTAATTCCTGAAATTTCAGGGGTGGAAAAGAAGGTGATAAAGAATGGGTTCCAGTAACGAAGCTGGGTCGTTTGGTTAAAGACCGAAAAATCACCTCGCTTGAAGAAATATACCTGAACTCATTACCTATTAAAGTAAATCTTACATAGGTTACTAGCGATGTTGGCGCTTTAATATGCTCATCGTTGCAGCACTCAAGAAATCTTAGTCAATTAAATCGAGTACCTTTTTCAGGAATATGAAATTATCGATATGTTGTTATCTAATTTAAAGGATGAGGTACTAAAAATAATGCCAGTGCAGAAACAAACTCGTGCTGGTCAGCGTACACGCTTTAAGGTTTGTGATGACACTTTATCATAACTGTAAAACTGAAAAGTAATATCCTTTGCAGATTCTTGAGCAATCTATAAAACTTCTATTCAGGCTTTTGTTGCTATTGGAGATCACAATGGGCATGTAGGCTTGGGAGTGAAGTGTTCAAAAGAAGTTGCTACAGCTATTCGTGGTGCGATCATTGCTGCGAAGTTATCAGTCATCCCTGTACGGCGCGGATATTGGGGTAACAAAATTGGCCAACCACATACCGTACCCTGCAAGGTATTTTTATTTGGATGAAGAAAAACTTAAATGTTTCACTGACTGTGTTTATGAGATAAGTATATGCTAAACTTTCTTCAAGGTCACAGGAAAATGTGGTTCAGTGCTGGTGCGTCTTATTCCTGCTCCTAGAGGCACTGGTATTGTTTCGGCACCTGTGCCGAAAAAACTACTTCAAATGGCTGGTGTGGAGGATTGCTATACGTCCGCTGTTGGACAAACTGCTACGCTGGGGAATTTTGCAAAGGTAAGTTTTTCGTTTTAGCTGCCTGAATTGGAATAGTCCGTAATATTTATCGCCCAGAGAACACAGAAACTTAATGAACAATGGAGTTAAAGAGTTTAATAAATATCACGATATTGGTCATCGTGACGTCATTTCGGCCTGTTATTTCGTATATGACTTCCTTACTACTATTGTGATGTGTTACGAGCAGACTTAGTGATAGTATCGATGAGGCTCTTCAATTTGGTTTGTTTTTAAGTTCTTTTTAACTTTAGGCAACCTATGCAGCGATTCAGCGCACCTATTCATATTTAACACCTGATTTGTGGAAGGAACAATCTCTAGAGAAAACTCCATATCAGCGTTATTGGGAGTTCCTTGCGCAAAGCGCACCTGTTCGAGTTTGATGAGAACATTGGTTATTTTATGTTGTCTGTTAAAAAGTTGTATATGTCGTAATATCGTTGTATTCCTTCTGGATGCCACTTCGACAGTGTTCCGGGAATAAATTTTGATTTCGACAAATTTATATTCAGAAAAGTGGATGTATATTGCACACGCACTTACATGTATATCAATAACGACTGGGTGATTCTTTATAAACTATTGTCCATTTGGCGGGCTGTTCACAATCAGTTTCACCATCGGGACATAGTCGGTTAAATGTTTTCGCTGGTTCAAAGCCCAAGATTTCCCTATCCTCCTGTATCCGATATGAAAAAGTTGATGTATGAGTACCAATGAAATAACGGGCATGTGCGCATATCCACTGCAACGGGACGTTTGACTACGCCAACAATAAAAAAGATCTAATCAAGTTTCATGTTGGCAGACAGATTATAAACTGGGAGAATAGAAAACCTGGTCAACAATGGAGACTTCTCCATCATTCAAAGATGAGTCGTTTAGAAATCGTTCAACTTGTACATCATATGGCAAGAGACTGGTAAGGGTGGCCACTTCCGCAGTTGAAGCGTCCGTACATAAATAGAGAGTAGTAAGGTTTTCTTTTCGCAGAATCACAACAATCTGTAAGAATGTCAGATGTTTTAAACAAACGAGGATTCGATCGTGTTCGGATTCTTCTTGGTCCCAAGTTTAAAAAGTATTCGCACTCTGTTTGAACTATATGCAATATATTTAACACTAAAGCACTGAAACCTGCTCGGCGGTGCCACTGATAGATGGTATATCAGCGCTATGAGACCGCACAAAATCACGACGTCTCCAGTGAACACAAATATAGTCCCCTCCTTGCGCTTCGCCGTGCTCCTGGAAATATTCTTTCCAGCTAAATTAGTTTTAAGATCTCATTAGATACTGAGGTGACGTACTTTCCTTGTTGTCTTCCATGAATCAGAAATCAGAGTTCCATCTCTCCGATCATTTGAATTCAATCGTTTTTGCCTTAAATGCGCAAAGATACAAATTAAAAAGAAAAAGTTGGGAATTAAGATATTTAGGTTTTCTATTTTACAAAAATTCTACTTCAGAGTTAACACAGTTGATAAATATCCTAACTCATTACGTTACCTAAATTCATCAGCAACAAGACGAAGATGCTCTGCGTAGCGCATGGAGCGCCTCGCTTCCCAGTAATGAAAGTCACCAAAATGTGAGTGAAGCACTGTTTCTGCGCGATCAATCATCAATGAATTCGCATGATGATGATCTCTTTGAATCATATTAGCCAATGTCTCTGAATCACCTTGTATCGAAATGCATGAAAATTTGCGAGCATATATATTTTCAAATGAAAAAAACCAGCCTTTCCTGAAAAACTGCACTAGAATGAAGATGGAGGATAATTCGCTGACAGTGCGATTGACTTTCACATGAGTCCAGAAGTAAACAATGCGCAAACTTAGCATTAAAATTTGGAGAAATAACGTAACGATATTCAGTTCAAGTTAGATCTGTAGAAAACAATTGATATATTCATGTAAAGTTCAAGTTTTTGGCCTAAAGTTGCTTAGAAAAACTGATGTATTTTAATTTAAGACCTTCAAATCATACCAAAGACCACCAATGAATTTGTAGTGAGGATCATTAATGATGCAATTCCGCTGATCATATTTAATTTCATATTTCCCACCCGTCCATCCTTCTGCATAACCTTGTAAATATAGTACTTCATCGATAGCATCGTAATTCGTTTCTAAAAATGATCGCACGACTAGTTTAACTGTTAGCATACTTACTTTGTAACTGTCCCTTTATTTTGATTCCAGCCGATTTCGTCAACAAAGTAAAAAGTTACATTTATCTCTTCATTTTCTATAAATTTAAAATGCCAACATTCAAGTTCAGCAAACTATTATATTTAAATTCAGATTTTTTTATTAAGAATAACTTTCTTCTCCTCTGTAATGTGAAGATAGCTGAAAACATACCTTTTAAAAACCTATGGAATTCAATCACGGGAACAAATTCATTGATACTTTGAATGTGGAAAAACTTCGACCAAGGTACTTTCAAGTGATGTTTTCGCCAATGATAAAGGCCACCCCATGGCGGTAATACAAGCACATAATTATAACCACGTTCTCGCAAAATCCTAACTGTATTTGCTATTCTGTAAAAAAAAACCACAACAAAATCTGATCGAAGTCGTAATTTCTGACGTGATGTGAGCAAAAAAAAAAGGAAAAAACACAAATCACTATGACATTTGACTATGGGTAGCCGTAAAACCCGTTTAAAGTTCTCAGCCTTTTCATGGCATAGTGATCAAGAGAAAACTAAAGAAAAACAGCCAACAAACAAGTGACCTTTGAATTACCTCATAAAAACATCACGACGCAAGTTAAATCCTTCGCCGTAATTGACGTCGTAAATTAGAAACTTTTTTTCATCTCTACTGACATCATTTGCTAGTACAGCAATACTTTCATTAGCTTCACAACAGTTTATTATAAATAATAAATAATACAACAGGTAGAATGCAAGTTGAAGCCAATACTGAAAATAAAAATTTAAAGTGTGCAGTGTCTGGCAACATTAAGAACTCATGTTCTTATTCTAAAAATGAAAACCTAACCATTTTTGTATCAGACAGCCATTTTTGTTGGTAAGAATCAAAATGATAGGTGATAAAGTCCAGCTTAGTGCCTGCAATCATTATATTTGGTGATAAAGGAATAGCTACACTCAGCTTTAATCAAAAGAACTGAGAAGCATGACAGACTAAATGTTTAATGCATCACATAAGCTAATTTTCTACGGAAAATAAACTCTCCAAATCAATCCATTCGAGGATTAACCTAATAAAAAAGTTTCCTTATAGCACTTAGCAAGCGCTAGTAAATAAATATTCCCTAGCTTACAGGCACAACCAAGAGAACCAAAACCCCGCCTCTTTTCGACAGTTCGCTTAAAACGAACTTGTGTTCTACATTTTTCTCACGGCCCGTTACTGATGGCGGAACAAGGGAGTTTCTCGTCGGTCGTTCCTGTTCAGCGAGTTGACATTTTAGTTTTAACTTCAGTGTCCGTATTAATTATACCTTGAAATTCTTACAGAGTTTGCTGGAACGGAGGAATAAAGACCGAAGATATAAGAATTGGCATAAACTACCTCACTCAGTGCAATTTACGAAAACTTTTTTCCAGGAATCTCTTAGTCTTACCTGCTACGGGGATGCTCTTACAACCTATCGCGACAAACACAATGATTAAAAACCAGTCCGAAATTGTGAAGGGACCGGTTATAATTGAAACTTTGCCGGATGTTACTGCGTTGCAGTTTACGCAGGCATAAGAGTTACAGGAAAAGCCTGTACCGACATCAATATCTGCAGGTGGTGATTGTCCTGCATCGATAATCTGGGAAGATTCCGAAGAAATTTCACTAGTAAAGTTATTTCTTCTGATTACAGTGCTATGGGAAAGACTTAAACGTACATAAATTTAACCTTAAGATTACTAGCAGGTATTCCCTTTTCATTTTATAAACCCTCTCTGTCTTTGAACATTTTATGCTTGCTTTAAGCGAAATGAAAGATACTTATCATTAAAGTGGTTGAAATTATAGGAAATTAACGCCCCATCACCCGTCTTTATCTCTGCTGAGCTTGGAAATGTATCTGGCGGACATGTTGGCATGTACAATGCTCTGATTAAACGTATCAGTTCTCGTGAGTACATCCTAAGCATTACGGATGACAAACTTTTTCGCTTTCCTGTTGCGTTTATCGAGTTTTTTTTTATCCAAACTTATCCCCTGGTCGGTATTTTTGTGCAGCTGTTCGGAATTTTGACAAAGGATTCCCTCGTAATTTATTACATATGATAAAAAGATTTCCGCACTTCATGTATTCTAGGTGAAATTATGCGATAGGACCAGCTACTGTGCGATTTGAAAACTGGATTTCCTTCTAGCGAACGAACCATTTTTAGTAGAAAATGAAAGTTCTTTGAAGTCTTGACGTCCTCAGCTCACGATTTATGCCGACATTGGTTTCCAAATAGATAATAGACGCAATAATCAAGGTGACGTTGATTCTGGCTTCTCAAAGTCGAGTGATAATCCCACCAGATTGGAAAATTATTAAACAGCTACAACTTTCTCTATCAGTCACCGAATTTTCGAGTTCATTTTTGAAGTCGGTCTAATTTTGTTACATTTCCTTTCAGATTCTTCGATTTTAGTGAATCAAGTGTAGTTATATTCTTGAAGATTTCACTCTCTTTGAATGATACATGGCAGAAAAAAAAATGGATTTTCACACAATTCTTGATTTACCATTACTGAATCCTGCGAATTCAAGTGCAGCATCATATGTATATAAGCCTGTAGTTCTTGACCGGTTTGCAAATTTAAATTTTCAGATTCCGTCTTTAGATGGAAGAAATTTTACATAATGTGTGAGCTTCTCCCTCATCCTAGAGGGAGCTGTAATCGCTCACGTTGCAGAAATATTTATTTTCTGTGAATATTGTGGAAGAACTTTTGAATTGGTATTCGTAGCTCATTTGCTCGTGGTGGTGTAGCTGTACTCTCGAATATAGCTTCACGCACTACTTGAAGAGGTTTATAGTGCCCATTATCCGTTTTTTTTTTGCATTATTTACTACTGATGTTAGATTTGTGGTCTTGGTTGTCTGGTTATTCCAATTTACGTAAAACATCAGATTTTCTATGTTGCAGCAGCAGTACCCATCCTTTGTTACTCTAGTCGTCGATAAGGCATCTAAGTGATTTCTTTTTTGGGAATTACCATTTCATGATGTTCATCTGAATTTGTTTATGATCACCAATAGAAATATTACAGATTCTCATTTCAACCATACACATAAAGTAATCATTGAATGCGTTTCATTGCAGCGGGCGAGGATTTGTCACCAATAAGAAATATCGCACATATGGAGACAGAAAATGTTGAAATTCATGAATTAAATATCCAAA